TCCATGACGTTCTATCCTTTAGCTGTGCATGGACAAGGCAGAGGGGCTAAGGCAATCGAAAGTTTTATGATCACGTAGCAGTATTTAACCCCATACAGAAATTTCCTCTGCGAGGCCGCTGACTATCTGGAGGCTGTGGAAAAGGAATGTGCTGAACCAAAGAGTCTTTGCGAATGGTTAATTTATAATTGTATCGTCTTGCAGATATAAAACAAACCTTCCAAAACCTGCCCGTGGCTTTTGCTGATTGTGCCTGTTCGTGTTTGCCCGAAACTTGAGGGTTACAGTTAGAAAAGTGTGACGTTTTCATTACAAAACAGAACTCTAAAGGTGATTCAGTAAGTCAGACGCTTGATTGTTCAGATTGGAATTTGCTTGGCAATCAGGATTCGCCGATAAAACACGATATCAAGGAAGGTTGAGTGATATATGGCAGTTATTAAATGCAGGGGTGGGGGGTGATGTCTGACCTCGTTGGTGAGTGTTTTCTGTTAGAAACGTAAGTCCATTTAGAAGATGACCCCAAGCGGATTCATGAAAGAGAATAGCGCAGGTGTATTAGAATCGAAACCGATAGTCGGACGAGTTTTCTCCTTAAAGCTGAACCAGAAAGCCGAACTTATGAAAAAGGTTGAAAAGACTCCGTCGCCTATTCTTTTCATTCCCAAGTGATGAATCAATTTTCAATATTTCTACAAAAAGATGATTGGACATATTTTTGCAGGGGAGAAAACCGCGCTTACAACACGTTGAGGTGGCCGTAAAGTTCAAATGCAAGCAGGGCATACTCTGCCATAGGGCCAGATTCTGTCGTAAAGGATATCCGTGATAAATCCCGAGGTGATTCAATTGTCGTGCATTGTCCCTCCCTGGATGTGAAAGACCAACAGCCTGGCGAGTGATTTCTTGATTTACGCCCAAGTGCTTTCCCAAGAGACTCGACGCCTCTTGTGGCATACTTTTACGGCCGAAACTAGATCTAACGGCCTAACCTGACTGTATTCCCGTCCAACAACGTAAACAGAAGATGGTGCAAGGCTCCCCTACCCAGATCTAACAGCAGTTCTCGGTCTTGAATTTGCCTACACCCATTTTGGGTTGGAGCTTCTTACCGATCCAAAATGGAAAATGGGTGTTCCGGCGACACCCATTTTCCATTTTGGCGCAGTTTTTGCAGGAATTTCTTCACTCGGCTGCGACCATTGTGGCTTTAATGGATTTCCGTCTGCACGATTCACACATTAAGCTAGTTTTCAGTTTTCGAGGAAAAAGAGCTCAGATTCACAGCTTAGATCAATATTTCGAAGTTTTTCTTTGTGTAATAGTCATTGTGTGAAGTTAGATATACACAAAAGGAAACAAGGTGTACTGTTTGTTTGGTTTTTCCAGTATACGCCATGAATTTGACTCATTCTAGCACTGTGAGGAGTCAGAGAACGAACGCGGCACGGGAGGTGTTGCCCGACGGATGACAATTAACCGGTCGATGTTTTTGCTCACCTTAGCAATCATGTCGTTATTTGGCTTACCATCCATCGTAATTTCGGCCCTTCTTGGAATCCGGACGAGGATACAACCAAGATTGTCTATCCCGAGGCTATTTTCTGCACAATTGAAGCAAGAGCTCCCCTACCTGTACAATAAGGCTGTTTGGGAAAGTTTTCGAAACATATAGGAATAGCAACTAATATGAAGGAGCGTTTTATTACATACATACAAATATATAGCACCCGAGGTGATCTGCTTGTAGCTTTCTTTATCGTCGTGTTCCATCTTCGAAGAAAACACCTCCATCCAATGCACAATATTTGGGACAGATACCACGCTCTCCTTGAGGTCCAGGTTGTCCAGGCTGTCCAGGGTTTCCAGGTGCTCCGGCGGGTCCAGCGGGTCCAGGTGCTCCAGGAGGTCCAGGGGGTCCGGCTTGTCCAGCTGATCCGTCGCGACCGGGTTGTCCGTCCGGTCCTGGTAAACCAGGCGCTCCTGCAAACATGGATTTTCATTTTAGCCAAGCCTTCTCTTCCAAAGCGAGGCCTAATTCGTGATGTGAACAATTTATTACCTCGAGAACTGAGGAACTCGTTTTCGTTAAAAGAAAGGAAAATATTCTGATAATTTCAACGAACCTGGCTCTCCTGGTGGTCCGGGATCTCCTGGAATGGCATTTGTACTTTGAGCAGGTCGTCCAGGTTCTCCCTTCTCTCCGTCTGATCCTGGTGTTCCCGGTGGTCCTGGAGGTCCGTTGGGTCCGGGTGCTCCGGGAGGTCCTGGATTACCAGGTCGTCCAGGACTTCCGGCCCTTCCGGGACTACCAGGAGGTCCATTTGGTCCTGCTGGTCCAGGTGGTCCTGGTGGACATGGATTGCATGGAGGAATATCAAGTTCCTCGCATACAATCGGTGGTCGTCCAGGTGCACCTGGCCGTCCTGGGGCTCCAGGAACTCCGGGTTTTCCATTTCTGCCGGGCAGACCAGGACGTCCAGGATGTCCAGGCTTGCAGCATGCTGAAAATCAGGTCGATTTCAATAATTGAGGATCCCGTTTGATACAAACTCATTGAGGAATGATGTTACTTACATGCACACGAGCCAGCCTGCCTCTTGGCTCTTGCACTGGTAGCATTCGCAGCGATTGAAGCAAACGATGCGGGCTTCTTGTGGGTGATCTCCGTCATGATGTCTCTTGCTGACGACTGAAACTGGCCAGTTTAGGTCGTTATGTTCAGAACC